TACTCCCACCGACGTAGCCCCAAACAGTTTCTTTCGAAACCATCAGCCTTTATCCAGTTTAACTAGCCATATTTTGCTGGTGTAAATGAGGTATAAGTCTCTAGATTGACTGTCGATTTGATCGCGAGAGAAAGGTATGTTAGTGAACCCTGTCGGCTTTGCATGAAAGGAGAATCTAGTTGGTTGATCTAGTTGATCTAGCTACTGTATTGGACGGAGGCAAGATAGGTTGCCGCCATTGTGATGTGATTTTCAGCAAAACAATTGACTTTCCGAGCCCCTCCCTCAGTACTGAGGAGCTTAAAAGGGTACCGGCGAACTGTGAAGGGAAACTGAGAGGTAACCTGCGTGGACTACCCCCCACCCCAACCAAGGGGAGGGGAGGGGGGAGGGGTGGAGAGAAAAATACTCTTGGCAGCTTCGCGTTCAAGATGCCGCTGGGTGGAGCTAATTGATTAGGGAGCAGACTACTTTCATTTAGTGTCGCAAAAGATCGAGATACGCGCGTTATTTGTAAATAATGAATCTCAAGTCGTTCGTCAATTTCTTTCTCCTTGGATGAATCAGCCATTAAAAACAATTATAGAATGTAAACTTTGTGTTTGCAGAGATTAAATCAGTTTGAATCGGAATCTGATTTTGTAACTTAATACATTTGAGTCTTCAAATGAATCTGTCATTGAATTATGAAGTAATTAATGTAATCAATCATAGTGATAACAAGAATAATTACTAAACTGCTTTATCATGGTAAGTTGTCATCTCACTTTTATATTCCTAATGAATTATGGTTGTTATCTGAACTAATAAAAAGGTTAAGGGAACCTACAAAGACACCTTTTCATAATAAACTTTTCAAGGAGGAACAAAACACTCCGTGCCTTACTTGCTTATCATGTTCATCAGTTCGATCTACTCTGAAGTACTCAAGACTAGAGAAATAAATTTAAGAGAAGTCTTTTCTGATTGTGTATATCGTGTTTTTGTGTTGATGTTTGGGCAGACATAGATGCGCATGACGAGTATGGGAAGACACCACTGCACTGCGCCGTGGGGGCACAGAAGCTTGATATTGTCCATTGTCTTCTCCGCTACAAACCGGATGTGGATGCTCATGACGACAGAGATGACACAGCGCTACACACTGCAGCAAGGACGGGAAACTTTGATATAGTGCTGGTGTGTAGCTCTATCACAGAGAATGTTTTCAATCCGCCGGTCAAATGATATTTATTTCATCAAAAATTTAGATCAAATTCCTTCACGGGAAAGAAGAACCTTTTAAAACTTGCCACACTGTTAACGTGTGTCTTTGTAGCTCAGTTTGTAGTAGCGCCCAACTAGTTTTTTCTTTTTTCTATGACTTTCTTCTGCTGAATTGTTGAAATTTCAGCTCACCGGCCAGCAAGAACTCTCTCTTTTCTTGCATTTCTTATGTAGAAATCAAAGCATTCGACGCTTTGAATGTTATCAATGCTTTTAGAGATCCAGAGGTCATTAAGAAGCGGTAGGTGCTTTTCTCCACGCACGTTATGCTGATAATTTAAATGTGTGATACTTTCGTTACATGACTTTGTAGGCACTGCTGCGTGAGGGGCACGCCAACCCAAATGCTGTGGGAAATTCCGGATGCACTCCACTTCACATTGCCGCCCATTTAGATCACGTGAACAGCGTCGCCATCTGTAAATTACTGGTGAGAGACTGCATGTCGTTAAAATAGATTAAGTACAATTTGATGGCTGGGTTACTTGACTGAGAGATAAACAAAATTTAGAATACATGCATGGTTTGGCTTGTAGTTCTCGGTTGGGAGATGGAACCTTGTAAAAACAGCAGTTCAAAGACGAAAGACCCTTCATTTTACCTAGCTAGAACTTTTCTCATGAACCTTGAATTCTCAGTAATCTACGTTGAAACTTATCGAATAAGCGATACTTTTAATATAAAACACTCAGCACAGTATCGCACTTTGATGTCCTTTTATAGGCTAGAATCATTCGATTTTTTTCAGTCATTGTTTTTATTTCAAAAATGTAGCTGACAAAGTTTTCATCACAAACAAACGACAAGAAAAGACCCACCTTTCCGGCCTTAGTCGAATCCTTAATCTTTTCATAACTGGTGTGCTTTGTCTTTGTTTCGCAGTTACAATATAGTGCTAAGATACTGGCACGTGACCATAAGAATATGACGCCTATTGCGCATGCTGCCTTACACGGCTGTTATGACGTCATGGTCTGCCTCTTTCATTACTGTGAGTAATTCGCATTCCAAAGCATATCCGCTTTCTTGTTACAGTTTCTATCTCAGCGACGTTTTCGCTACTCCAAAAAAACTCTCGGGTTGTGTGATCTGATGCAATAGATCTCCATGGTTACAAAGTCACTACTTTGCGATTAGCAGATACAAATCGACCCACAATGTTAGTACTTCTCTTTTTAACGACTGCATTTTCTGAACTCTCAAAACACTTTTCGTTGCAGCAAAAGGTCAAGGGATCTCACGTGATGATGTTCTCTTACATGTCGATAACACCGATAGTACATTGCTTCATCTGGCGGTGGAAAGTGGAGTCGCTAAGGTATATGGCGAGGGATGGGTGGGTGGGGAAGGAGCCTTTTCCTCTGTTGCTGTTTTATACTTCTTAATTCTGTTTTTATCGATTCAAGCCAAGTTGGGGTGAATGGATGGGTCAGTTGGTGGGGTTAAGAGGTTTATGGTGTTGTTTTGTTTGTTCCTTCTGAAGTAGTATTTATCTATGTTTCGTTTCTTACAGCTTTAGTGGATTTACACAATTATCTCTATGAACGTACACTTTTAGTGCTTATCCTATCACTTTGATTGAATGATGACTATTATAATTTTTATCATACTTATCATTATTGATGTTATTGTTACTGATTCACAAACAGTATAATTAAGTAAGGAGAGAGTTTGAAACTCTGAAAAAGGAGAAGGTTTTTAATCGAGCACAGAAGGCAGTTCTTTTCTTTAAAGTTCCTAAAGTTCTTATGTAGATCATGTTATTAACCGGTCACGATTTCTTTGATCACTCATCCTTTATTTCGATTACAGGTTGTCGAACTTTGTCTTGAAGAAGGAGCGGGACCAAATGCAGTGAAGGTTAAATTTTGATTTACAGTATTTACATGGTGCATTTTAAATGAGTGTTGTTGAACGACGGCCAATAAGGACGGCAGAATAAAGACTAAAAAAACAAAGGCGGTCTTTGAGATTTCAAAGCAAACAAGTCGTAAACAATTTTAAAGGTCTTCTGTAGTCGGTGTTGGTGCGATACACTTGTTGCAGGGCGTCTGTTAAGTTGTTGATCACAGATAACGTAAAAATGGGGTAAGAACAAAGCAATTGGTTCCTGAGGCACAGTCAAGAGTTCGAATGATGTTCTTACCCGATTTGAAGTCATCTATGATCTATTATTATCCAACTACACCTAGACGATTACAAATAACGCCATAGACGAGTACAAATATCACGCGGTATTTGTACTCGTCTATTGTAGTACCGGTTAAACAGGTTTTCTCGCATCGCGCAACCGAAGAATCGGATTGTAGTTACGAAAAAAAAAAGTGGCGGACAATTCGAATCATATTTCCGACCACGAAGAGTCAGAATGGCTCGCAAATATAGGTCCAAGTCCATTAGATGAATCGAACGAGGAAGAACAGCTTGACGACCAAAAAACTTCTTCG